TCTTAATATCTAACCTGAACTTCCCTTGCTGCAACTTGAAACCATTGCTCCTTGTTTTGTCATCTGCCACCACTGAGAAGAGTCTGGCTCTATCCTCTTTTGAACCCCACAGCAGGTAGTTGACAGCTGCTATTAAGCCCCCTCAGTCTCTTCTCTAAACTAAATAAGCCCAGTTCCCTCAGTCTTTCTTCATAAGTCATGTGCCCCAGACCCGAACCATTTTCACGGCTCTCTGCTGGACTCTTTCAATTTGTCCACATCCTTCTGTAGTGGAGGGCCCAAAACTGAACACAGTACTCTAGATGTGGACTCACCAGTGCTGAATAGACAGGAATAATCATTTCCCTCGATCTGCTGGCAACACACCTACCAATGCAGCCCAGTATGCTATCAGCCTTCTTGGCAACAAAGGCATACTGCTGGCTCATATTCAGCTTATTTTTCACTGTTAACCCCAGGTCCTTTTCTGCAGAGCTGCTGCCCAGCCAGTCAGCCCCCAGCTTGTACTGGTGCATGGGATTATTCCATCCTCGGTGCAGGACTTTGTACTTGTCCTTGTTGAACCTCATGAGATTACTTTTGGCCCAATCCTCCAATTTGTCTAGGTCACTCTGAATCCTAGTCTTACCCTCCAATGTATCTACTACACCCCCACCCTCCACCCCCAGTTTGGTGTCATCCACAGACATGCATTCTATGCCATCTTCCAAATCGTTAATGAAGATACTGAACAAAAACAGCCCCATAACCAACCCCTGGGGCTCTCTGCTTGATACCAGCTGCCAACTAGACATTGAGCCATTGATTACTACTCTCAGAGTCCAATGCTCCAGACAGTTTTCTATCCACCTTACAATCCATTCATCCAGCTCATATTTCCCTAGCTTGCCTGGGAGAATGTTGTGGGAGACTGCATCAAAAGCCTTGCTAAAATCAAGGTACACCACATCCACTGGTCTCCCCACATGCACAGAGCTACTCATCTCATCATGGAAGGCAATCAAGTTGGTCAGTCATGATCTGCCCCTAGTGAGTCCATGCTGACTGTTCCTAATCACCTTTTTCTCCTCCAAGTGCTTAGAATTAAATTCCTTGAGGTTCTTCTCCATGATTTTTCCAGGGACTGAGGTGAGGCTGACTGGTCTGTAGTTACCTGGATCCTCCTTTTTCCCTTTCTTAAATATGGGCACCATGTTTGCCCTTTTCCAGTCATCTGGGACTTCTCCTGATTGCCATGAGTTTTCAAAGGTGATTGCCAAAGGCTCTGCAATCATATCAGCCAACTCCCTCAGCACCTTCAGGTGCATCCCATCCTGCCCCATGGATTTGTACACATCTAGCTTTTCTAAAGAGTCTCTAACCTGTTCTTTCACCACTGAGGGCTGCTCACCTCCTCCCCAAACTGTGCTGCCTGGTGCAGTAGCCTGGGAGCTGATCTTTAGTTAATGCTAGTGAATCATAACTGGTGCTTAACAGGTATGAATCTAGAAATGGTCAAAGGGATAAGTGGGGTTTCATAGAGATGGAATTTCTAACCTCCAATTCTTGCAATATAGAAGCAGCAAATATCATACTGAAGAAAGAAGTGGAAAAGATAAAATGCTGTTAATAGCACTTATTCAATATAATACGATATTTCCCATTATTTTTCAGCCTCTTCATCAAGCTAAGTACTTTGCCTTCTCCCTCACTGTATACAACCTGCATGTGCACTGATCAACAGCATCATGGAGTGTTCCATGTTTCATTGCTTAAGTAATGTATGTGTAGGAGTCAAGCCAATACATCATTTTTGGCAATACTCTAGTAGCAATATATGTGCAGTCAAAGCTTCCAAGGAAGATGGAAGTCTTGTGAGGTCCTTTAAAAAATACATGCTTTTCTTGCCATCTACAGCGAATCTGTAGGAAGATTAGTACATTGATTAGTTTTCATTAGACATATGTCTGTTATTCAGTCAGTTCATCTCGATGTTTTCAAATAGCTAATTTCTCTGGTGTATCTCAAGGTTGTTTAAAATTAATACATGTTAGAAACTAAAACATTTGATGCTATTTTGGTGTTCTATGATTTATGTGTCAAATCTACTTTTAAATCCTTTGGGAGGTTAAACATAGTTTGTCAAAGTGATACTGGGACTGCTTGTCTAGTTTTGGTTAAAAAATGTATTGCCATAGCCTATTCCATCAAACACTCTCTATTCTAACTTCCAGGTTGCTTCTTGAATACTACAAACTAATACCACTTGTTTGCTCAGCTTGAAATTCCTCTGAGGGGACTTCTTTTATTTCTTCCATCCCTGTTCAATTAGTTAATTGTTTAATAATGCTGTATAAATCTCTGCAAACCAACATTTTTTTTCCTGATGAAAATCCTATTGTTATAGAGAAGCAAGATTTTTTTGAGCGATATCTTTTATTGGAACTACTGTATAAAATAAAATCCTTGCCACTTGCATATTTCCTAGACCATAACAGCTACAATATCGTTTCAGCTACTCCATTGCTGTAAATAACTTTTCATTCAATGAGCAAATTACAAATTTCCATACAGATACCTGCACACATAAAAGAAAAATTAAATTGAGTCAGATAACTAAAAACCCAGCACTTTGGACCTGAACATATTCAGCACTTATTCAATATAATACTATATTTCCAATTATTGAGAAGTTGAGGGAGCTTAAAATCTCACAGGAGCAGGCCCTACATGGACACACTGTTAAAAGCACAAAGGTGTTATCCACTAAGGCTAGGTATAGGCATTCAAAAAGTCCAAGGCGAGAACTGATCTAAGTTACATGGTTTTCTGTAAGTGGTGTAGTTTAGATCAGTTGCAAACAGAACACACATTTGCCCTTTGAGGGGGAGAGTGAGGGCAGAGGCAAAGCTTAGACTGGGTTCCAGCATGTTTAAACTAGTCTATGTGTGCCGAACTTCTGGTCTGTTACAGGTGTAGACTGGTTTCCAATCCCTTATACCAGTAAAAGTGTAATGTTTGTACCTGGCTTAAAAATCTAACTCAGTGGGTGCGTCTACATGAGACACTTAACTCGACAGTAGAGCTAATTACTACGCAGTAAGATCAGCATCTACGTGTTCAGACAATTATTGAGCAGTAATTGATTCTAATTCCGAGTAAATTTGCTACCTGCAAATGCAAGCCGCAAATTTACTCAAGATTACCTACTGCGCAGTAGTGCATGTATAGACGCCTGCCCACAAGCAAATGTACTCCCAGTCAGCCAGTCAGCAGGGGGTGGGAGATTACTCCCTGCCCCCGGGACCTGCCTGCTGCTGAGACAGACTCTGCCATCAGAGCCCAAGTTAATCTGGCAAGGAGAGACAATGTCCTCCTGCCCCTGCAGGAGGGAGCTCCCAACCCCCGCCCTGTGATCATGGGGCTGGGAGATCCTTATCGCCCAGTGCCAGCCTGCAGAGTTGGTGCTGGGAGATAAGGAACTCCCAGCCCAGGCCCTGCAATCAGGATGGCAGAACAGGGGCTCGGAGCTCCCTGCTGCCAGGGCAGGGGGACATTGTCTGGTGGCAGAGCCCTTCCCAGCAGCAGCTCTGTCCTGGCCCCTGGCTCCTGCAGGGACCCATTGCAGGGCTGCAGGGAGTGGGAGTAGTCTCCTGCTAGGAGCAGCAAGTCTGTTCCAGTGTCCCTGCATGTGCAGACACGTGCCCGAGAGAGTTTAGTCTCAAGTAGTTTACTTGAAAGTAAACTTCTCCTGGATTATTTGCATGTGCAGATGCACACAGTGAGGCTATTTGTGTGAATAAGGACTCAGCAGGTTTAAATTGTTGAAATGGTATGTGTGGTTTTAACAACATAGCCATAGCAATGAGCAGTGTATCAGCAAGACTAAAATACATGTTTTTAGTTTAACACTGTGTTCCTCATCCATAAGAATGAAAAATTTAGGCACATAACTCAGCTGTAGCTTTCCCTTTGATGTAACTAATTAGCCTGGCTTGTAAGGACTCTTTTTTTTTAACTTTTACACCTTTCTTCAAATATATTTGGAGCAGTCATGCTGACACAGCATTTGAAATTACCCACTGCTGGAAAACCAGTCCCAAGAGTCTCACTTCTGTCACAGTGGGGCAAGATGAAGTATGACACAGTATTGCTCAAGGCTGCATGGGTTTTTTTATTTATTTATTTTGTCTTCCTCATAATTTTCCTCTGTTACTCTTAGCTTTCCATCAGGTTTCTTGACCACTGAATCATCCACTTGGCTTTCAAAAAAGCTCTGTTTCTACATTTAGCAAAATAGATATGTAAGCGTACCATGCAAAAAACTCCTTCCATCCCTTCCACACTGTTAGCGCTAAATCAAGTAATGAGGTTGTTTACAGACTAAACAACAATATGTGAGATCTCATTTTGTTTTACCTTAACCATTGTGTTTTTCCCTCCCTTCCTCACAGATGATGGAAATGCTTAAAACAAACTAAGGTAGTACAAAACTGACTAATGTAAGTGTAAGCATGGCACCCCATAAGCCGAGCTGTGAAATGTGTGTGTGCTGCTGCCACAGTATGTTGCATGGCTTTCTGCTATTGTTTTGTGTTTCTGATGTTAGGCAGCATGTCCAGCTGCTTGTAAGCATTTCATTTAAGAAATATATGTATATTATTAACTTTCATTTCATATTTTTTTAAAATAATTTTTCTCCTCTTGTAAAATAGCTTGTGGCCGATGATAGCAACAAAGCTGCAAGCACTGCAAAAAGTATTTGTTCCGGTAACAGCCAGAAACTTCAGTCCATGCCAGGATGCCTTTGGGCTTGGTTGCATAGACATGTAAAATAAGAAAGTATAAATTTGGGATCCACATGACTCAGAACAATATCAATCACCTTGTGAACTCTTCTGTGGTTACCTCTTAAAGTTATGCTCATTGTAGGGTTCAAGTCATATGTTAGCGTGGCTGACAGCTACATACATCTCTGCCTGTGCTACATGAATGCTTTACTGTAAGTCTGTTATCCTGAAATGAGTAGCTTTTGTGCTATTTTATAGGATGGATGCAATGAATAATTTGTATTTTCAAACACTACAAACAGGCTACTATGAATCAAAAATATTAGCTTTTCCTATATTTATATTTAATATTAAACTTTGTGGGTGACCATGATGCTAATAGCACTAGTCTGAAATGTACGCACTTCCCTACAGACTCCCCGGTGCTTCTAATTAATGATCTGCAACACCCTTGCTATTCTCATGCTGGGTTTCTCTTAAGCTCAGACTGCCACTCCTATTTAACTGTGTCATGATTTTGTGATGCACTCGAATAGGGAGTAGAAGGAAACTCATTTTCGTTGTGCCCTCAGCTATAATTGGAAACTAGATCACCAGAGGTGACAGGTCAGGGCACCAATGTGCAGTATCATTTTTCTTTTTTGGGGTAATAAAATCAAAGTAGTGAAATGCAATTAGTTACTCTCAGGATTCTCAGTTCAACTCTTTGCAACTCAACTATTCACATAGGAGTTCATAGTTAAATTTTCTTCCTGTAAACTGAAAATACAACTTCACACTAACATAACACCATGCCTGATTTATTTGAATGACATCTACCTTCTGAATTACCAAGACTATAACAATTGGAAATTTGACACATGATACTTTTACAGCTTTTCTCAGTTATCCCACATAGGAGCTACAGGTCTCTTCCTTAACGCACTAATGATTAGAACTGTCAGAGAAAACCCACCTGGTGAGCAAGGTCACCTTTTTATACTCTATAACAAAACAGATCACCAGGCTAAGGAAGCTCTAATTAACGTCAGAAGTGAATTTAAAAGCAAAGGAGAAAATGGGACATAGAGATAAGATACCCTAGAAGTAAGATTATGTTTGCAACCCTCCCAAAAGAAAGCCAAGAACCTTGTTTTCAAATATTGCTAATGCTGGGGATGAATTAGAGAAAAGACTGGGAATAAATAATGACATTGCATGACCTTGCAGTCTCCTCTTTGGTGGGTTTGTGAACACAGACAGAGTCTCTAGAACAAAGACACAGGCACAAGCTCAGTAGGCAACAGCCTATTATGAATTGATTCCTGGAAGAGGGGACAGAAGCAGCTCCCTTCCTGCCACTCATCATTCTTCTGCCTCCAAAAATCAGGATAGTTTTTATCCCAGCAGGAAGCACACCCAACCCTCTGCTTCCTACTAGTGGGGTCCTGCCCCTCTGAAAGAAACCACACCCTTTGTGAGTGGTCTTGAGATGTGCCAAAAACACAAACCCACTCAGCACAGTAACCTCGATACACTGCTCCCCATTTTAGAAGAAATGTATCCTCACCTCTAAATAACAAACAAAATGATTGATGGAATCAGTTTCCTTGGACTGTGCTGATGCTACCTGGCCAGCATCAATAGCAGCAGGTGTTTCAGTAGCTCTGCCCCAGGCTGTTTTGGTATTCCTTGAATTGGATCTCTCTCACACCTGGAAATTGGAAAGAGAACTGCCGACCCCTTGACCATGCACTGAAATTAAGGATTTCAGTCACTTAATATGTAATACCTGGATATTTCTTTGACCCTCTTGCCTGGCCTCATATAGAACCTCTGAGACCTTTTGCACAGTTTTTAAAGGACTTAGAAAGAGTTTCTGTAATTTAGGTGATTTCCCCAGTCTGTGATGGGAGTCTCTCTCCTAAATCTATTTTCTTATGTTATAAGGGAGAGTGAGTGACCTGTAAGTCAAAATGAGATTTCTCTTTCTTGTCACCCTATTCTAAATGATTCTCTATACCCCAGCCATAGAATTTAACTGCCCTGTACATGGCTGACATATTCTGATACAAAGTCATAAGTAGCAAGGAGCAAGTACCAAGAACTACATATGTTAGTAAAAATCTCTTTTCCTTTCCTAAACATGACACAGAAAGGTGTAAACTCAGTATATTGAAGCTTACAGTTGCTTGAATGTATGAGTGTGACAAAAAGCAAATATTCATTCCAGCCATCTCGATTAGAATGTCAGACAAAGTTAGATTCAAGGTTAGACAACATGGTAAAAGGGCATTAAGTTAAAGTTATGCAACAAAGCTATTGCTTTGGCTCACATGTTTTGGAAAGAGAAGTACCAGGCTTTAAACTCTAGTGCTAAATTAGCAACCTGGACCAATGTGCAGTTCTCCATTTCCCCTTCTTCAAAGAGAGTCTATCAACAGCAAATCATATCTTCCACCAACTGACTCCATATTTTCTATTGCGGTGCTCAACCTCTGGCCCACCAGCCAGATCCAACGCCAGGTGTCACGTCATCCAGTCTGCAGGACTCCTCACAAGTCCGAAAATTTGGGAGCAGAAGAACGGTAGCACTGCTCTCCTGCTGTCAAATTTCTAGACCCATGGGGAGCCCTACAGGCCAGGCCCTGCAGGCTAAATAGGGAGGCAGGGGGCCTAAAACCTGGTGCACAGGGCTGAGCAAGAGTGGCACAGGGCCCAATCGGGCCCGCCAACCCACCCTACACCACTTGTTAGACCAACAGAGCCAAAAAATTAAGTACTACTGCTTTTGACTATGTATTTTCATTTGTTTTCCCTGTTCCCTGAGATGCAATTATTCCTTCTGCCCTCAATCTCATGGGGTTCAACAAGGACAAGTGCAAAGTTCTTCACTTAGGATAGAGCAATCCCATGCACCAGTACAGGCTAGGGGTTGACTGGCTGGGCAGCAGCTCTGCAGAAAAGGATCTTGGGGTTACAGTGGACAATAAGCTGAATATGAGCCAGCAGTGTGCCCTTGTGGCCAAGAAGTCTAACAGCATCCTGGGCTGCATTAGTAGGAGTGTTGCCAGCAGGTCAAAGGAAAATAATTCCCCTCTATTCAGCATTGCTGAGACCACATCTGGAGTACTGTGTTCAGTTTTGGGCCCCCAACTACAGAAGGGATGTGGACAAATGGGCAAGAGTCCAGAAGTGGGCAATGAAAATGGTTTGGGGGCTGGGGCACATGACTTATGAGAAGCTGAGTGAACTGGGTTTATTTAATCTTGAGAAGAGAAGACTGAGAAGGAATTTAATAGCAGCCTTCAACTACCTGAAAGGGGCTTTCAAATCAGGATGGAGCTACACTGTTCTCTGTGGTGGCAGATGAGAAACCAAGGAGCAACAATCTCAAGTTACAACAAGGGAAGTTTAGGTTAGATATTAGGAAGAATTTTCTTACTAGAAAGGTAGTAAACCACTGGAACAGGTTACCCAGAGAGGTTGTGGACTCTCCATCCTTGGAGGTTTTTAAGACCCAGCTAGACAAAGCCTCAGCTGAGATGATCTAGTTGAGGATGGTCCTGCTTTGAGCAGGGGGTTGGACTAGATGACCTCCTGAGGTCCCTTTCCACCCTAATTTTCTATGATTCTAAGCAGGCTATTTTATTTATTTATTTACACACACACACACACACACACACACACACACACATATACGATATACATACTATATATTGCAGACATTCTGTATAGTATATACACACTACAGTTACCTTAATGCCAATTGCATCATTCTAGCAAATAACATGAATATATTTTCCAAGTATATGCTGCACACTTAATCCTCATGTTAAGATTAACTCCATGATATTAGTCCTAACTGATAGTCCTTGATCAGAGCCCCATGCTATGATGAAACACCATTCCTATGTAATGCTGTCAGTATCTACAGTGGTCTGCCAATTGCCCATTACATTCCATCTTTTCACCATTTGTCATGCTGAGCACCCCAAACTATGACATTAGTTAGTTTTTTTGGCCTCTCCTATGGTGTTTCTCTTTATAGTCTTTCAGGAAACACAGAAACTTGTGCCCAGAATCAATTAGGATCTCACAGGACACTCCCAACCCTCTCCTGGAGAGTAGATTTCACTCCCTGCGGTCCCATTAGGTGGCTTAGAATTTGCTAAATGGTAGCTTGGGGCTCCGTTACCTTTACTAAGCTGTCCAATAGTAGTTTTTATCAGTTGCCATCCTGTCTGAAATGTCCAGGCGTTCTGCATTTCTAGCAGGCTCATACCCTATGATATTTCTAACTTACACTGGCATCCCAGTGGGCCTTGAGCAGGGTGTTGCCTTCTTTCCCCTGATTGAAAACCCCAGTTTTGGTTTCGCTTGTTGCTGTGAGGTTACTTGCCACCTTTCCATGTGGAGCTATCTGACTCTCCGGGTCAGTATTTTCACTTCTTCCTGCAGATTCATAATTAGAGAAGCTAGATGTCTTCAAGATGGCAGGGTCACATGGGATGGACCCTAGATTACTAGAGATATTGGTTTAGGTGATTTCTGAGTCATTGGCTGTCCTCCCTGACAACTCATGGAGGTTGGGTGAGGTCCCAGATACTGGAAAAGGACAAAGATAGTGCCCAGGGAAGAAGGAGGATCTGGGGAATTACAGACCAGTCCTTCTGACCTTGATACATGAAAAGATAATGGAGCAGGTCCTCAAGGAATCTACCATGAAGCAC